ACCTGTAGTTGAATTCTTGTTGCTTAGGATTGTGTTGTCTAAAATTTTGCTTTGCTCCTAAGACTTTCATTGGGGTGTATTCATTTTTGCAACATGGTTTTGAATGAATTTGTTGGGAAAAATACTTTTTGTGTGCAAATTAACAAATTTTGTTTGCAATCAATGGCCTGCATTTGTGGGAGTATTTTGTAGTATAGTGTCCCATAGAAAATGTTGATTATGAAAGGAAAGTAAACGGTTTTCTGACAAATCTGAGCACTGTATATGCACATTTTTTAACTATTTTTATTTGTGATCAGAAAATCTCTGATCTCAGCTGCAAAAGGGGCTTAGAGAGCTAGAGTTAGAGAAGCAGCAGTACACTGATCTTCCCAGTGAATGGCTGTGCAGAAGGTGTGTCGGCACAAGTCTGATCAGTAGAGCATAGGCAGGCTATTCACCCAGCACAGCCAGAAAACTGATCACGCTGGGATGGATGTGTTCTCATGCCTAGCATGGTCAGTTTGAAAAAGAAAAAGCAGGGGGACTGGCAGGATTACCAGGTATTTCAAACAATGGAAGCAATGCACAGAGAACAGGATATTTTTTTAACACAAGTACATGGTACAACAGGGCACATATCAGGAATGTGAAAGGTAGCGTAGCATACTCTAATATAAGGCACTGTAATAAAGGGTCACACCACATTCCCATGACTACAAAGGATAAAGTATATTTATTTTTAAAAGAGTCTGACTACAAGTTTACCTTTGTTTATATTATTTTTATTTAAAAAGTGCAAAAGAACAGGAATTTCCACATTTCAGACCCAAATAGCATTCTGTTGTAAGTTTTATAAAAAAAGATTTAATAACAACCTGCTAGAAAAAAAGCATTGTCAAACCAAACCTGGTGTACAGTTCACCGATTACCAGACAGTTCTGTAGAAAGTGCAAAATAAATAAGGAAATCTAGAGACTTTAGGACTAAACATTCATATAGCACCACCATACAGAAGAATGGCATGAAATGCATTTAACCTTTGTGCTATTTCTGCATTTTTATAGTACAATGCATGAACAAAAGAGCGTGGTAAAAAGATGTAAGAACTGTTTCCTTTTCTTAATCTATGAACACTCAATATGTCAGCAAGTAACACTGAGTTCATGGTATGCTGGACATTTTCTGCAACCAGCTACCCTTTTTCAATGTGGTATTAAAGCCAAAACCAAACATTTTTCTTATTGCAACTTACCAATTCTTAAATGTGGTGGCTGCATTAGTTTTTTCTAGGCTTTCTTTCATTAGGCTCCCTAATATAGGATGTGTGTTACTGGCTAGACCATAAAATGAAACCAGAGGGGAACAAAAGCCTGAAAAAATTAATGCAGCCACCACATCTAATGACTGGTAAACTACAAATGTATTACATTTTTGGGTTTAATACTGCTTTAATCTCTCTAAAATGGTTATTAATAAGCATTCATTATTAATTCTCTTCACAAATCCACATTTTAATGCTTGCAATATTTGAGCACAAATGATAACACTTCTGTAATGTTCTTAGTTCTGGGTCAGCCAGGATGAGGAATAATTACTTGGCCGTGTTCTACTAAACTGTGATAAAATTGGGTCACCAATAGGAACACAAGACTATTAGGTACCCAATTTAATTTTTTAAACCTTCGGAGGTATGGAAGCAAATTGTGGATAGAGGAAACCACAAATTTAATTATTACATAACTACAAAAAGAAAATGAGGGAAGCTTATTGGAGTCAATTCCTATTTAGCAGGTGTAGCAGGCTCATCTAGTCAAATTTGCCTTCCTATATTTGCTTGCAATCACTAGGCAACCATCTCACACATTTGAAGCCATTACAGGCATTTCTGGGTGCAGGAGCAGAGTACAAGTCCAAGCTTCTAACTAAACGAGTCCATAAACAATCCTCCCAAGGAGGAGTGTGGCATGGCAGCTTGCACAAGATAATTACAACATAATTTGTTAACTATTTGGAGCCATCAGTTTTGTACACCACTCAAAAAGCAATGGATAATATGCCAGAGTTGTATGACATCTTCCAAGGAGAGGGTTTCAGATTCACAGCAGCCAATTCCTAGGGCACCTTGCAACCAGGAGAGGGAATCTATCCTACCTTAACACACTGGGCAAGAAGGCTCTCTGGACCAAGAAGCATATTACTGCACCCAAGGCTGACGTTTTATCTGAGAGGGATGACCTATGCATTTGGCTGATCCATATGCCTGGCTGATTATCTGGATAAATAATTGCATACATGCGCATTTTAATGCGCGGTCGGTGAGTGCGCATTTTATCTATATGGTTCCAGCCACTTATCTAATGCTGAGGAGGTCTTCACAGCACTTTCGCTTGCAACCACTTTACACTGTATAAGGAACTCTATGAACTTTTATTTACCTATGTCTCTCTATGTGTATATCAGTATTACAGCGCTGCACTATATTATTTATTATTCATGTTTGGAGGTCTAGTGATTCCTTGGAGTGTTCCAGCAGCTGATTTATGAGCGCTCGCTTTACCCATCCCATACATAATTAACACTGTTTGTAGTGTATTGGCAGATCTCATTATCAGTCGTATACTAGATTTGAACCTTGTCTGTTCTAACAAAGGTTTCAAGGCGTGGCTGGTACACTGCATGTTAAATCACTTTCCCCAAAATTGTCCCTCTTTATGCACTTTGAAACTGTTTAGAATAGCTTGCAAACTGCCTATAGGGACATAGGTATAAACATGCTCAACATGCATACATGCACATACTAAAGCCAATTTAGAAAGCAGCCAATTAAAGGAGAAGTATGAGAATTTATTGGAAAAAAAAAAAACACATACGTAATCACCTCTATGCTGCAGCATTGCTGTGATGCCGCAGCTGTCCCATGTCAACAATGAGGCTGAGAACTGAGCAATCAGATGGCCGCTGATCACCCAGTTCTCGGTCCGCTTGGAGTAGAGAGTGGAGACTGTAAGTCACCGCTCTCTGCTCTGCCCCTCCAGCGCTCACTCTAGCACCAGGTTGGCAAGGGGACATGCACAGCTGCATACTTACAGCAGGAACCAGCTATCAATATGGCAGCTGGGTGGATCTCAACAACATGGTCTGGGTCCTTCCAGAGCCTGGAGCGACTCTATAATGCCAGCTCAAAAGTTAGTGCACTCCTGTGACCCAAAAGAGAAGTATGGCCAAAAAAAGCTTTGGCCATACTTCTCTTAACCTGTAAGCATGTGTTTAGAGTGTGGGAGAAAACAGGGGCACTTGGAAGAAACCCATGCAAGCACAGGAGAACATGCAAACTTTATGCAGGCAGTGTCGTGGTTGGGAAGGCACCAACAACTGTGTTTTGGGTATGCTGTGTGAACAGGAATATATAAACATATAGAGGAGGGTTCCCAATTTGACTGCAAAACGTGAAAATAAAAATTCAAGCTGAAATACTGATGAATTTAAGCTGAGAAACTTAAGAATTCACTCTGAAGTAGGCATCTGTCTGCAGTGCAGGCTGGAGACACACTGATATTTTAGACAACAATGGTACACATGCAGTAAAACGCTTTCTTATCAATAATTATACTGGAAGTGGTTGATTATGATTGTTTTTTTAAGGTCAAAAGCTTCTATGGTAGCCTTAAAGTGTCCTTGCCTATGCGCTACACTAAAATGTCAAACTAAATCCGGTCATAGATGGACCAAATCATGACCAGTTCAGCAGGGACTGGCCAAAATTTGATCCATCTACAGACAGGCTGGTTGTACTGAAGTTGATCCATTGATTGACTTCAGTACAACCAGCCTTGTTGGAATTTTTTCATGCGATCACTGCCGTTAGCACTGAACACTGTGTTCTGCCAGCATGGAAGGCCCCCCCGCCAGCAAAACACAATAGCGCTGCAAGAGGGATGCCCCCATCAACACTTAAGGAGAAATCAAGAAATTTTCTTACCTTCCATCTGTGGTGGAAGGAAAGAAAACTGCACAATCTATGGGCTACCTAATAGCAGAATCAGGATGTTTATGTCCACTAGGCCTAAGCCTGTAGATATAACAGCATTCCAACAGCCAACAAATTTGAAAAGATGAGCTATAAAATCACTTTCTTTAGCATAGCATCTCTAATGAAATCTAGGACTGTATTGACAAGCACACACATGGGTTTCCAGCAAAGATCCAGTTATGTATAAAATGGAAAATCTCTATAGCAATACTCCCTGGTCTTACTTTAAGTGTGTCATTCATATTAATAATGCATAGCTCTTAATTTACTTTTACTTTAACCAAGGAAGCAGTATAAAAAAAAAACCTTTGAATTAGCAGTTATGGCTGTTAAATTAGCTTTTGATATGTTAATCTGTTGCTCTAGATTTATTTCCATTGTTGTTCCATCATTATAATGAAATGTTATGGATAATTTGAAAGGAAAAAAATCTATTTTCTACTGCTTATTTAAAGAATAAAAATACCTTTGTGCAAACTGTCTGTGTAGTTCATTACTGCTCCTCTGTAAAAGCAGGAACCCCTATTCATTCAGGTCAATCTATAAAAGGATGCTGGGCACACTGGCTACATAAAATTCTGAGCTGCACTGCTCACACGTCCCCCTTAAAAAAAAATCACAGCTGAAAATATGCAGACCATGCTATGGCTCCCTAAACACATTTTTTTTCGTTCAACTAGAGGGTTGAATGATCAAAAAACACCTCACAGATCCCCACATCCACTGTGATTGCTGGGATCTCCCTCACTGTGCTATAGTATTGTGACAGCGGGAACTCCCTTCTGCCAGAATACACAGATCAGTGCTGCAATTATTGGCAGCATAGGTTCATGGAATGATCGTTTTCTAAAAAGAAAAAAAAAAAGCATCCACCTATCCTTCAACATGGAGCTGTTGTGTATAGCCAAATGTGCGCACTTCAGAAGAACCAATTTAGTTCCAAAAGTGAAGCTAAATGTAAGCCACCTTCAGAGACGTAGTTACATCATAACACTACACAGCAAAATATGAATGACCTACCAAGTCTGGCTTCAGATGGACAGTTAATGGAAAGGAGTATAGGAAGGACTGTATGGTGGTTAAGACAGAGGAACTCCAGGACTGTCTGACTTCTCGGCTCCTGGGAATGCGGTGGATGGTGTACTGCACAAAACAAAATGCACACAAGTAAGTGATGACAGGCATTTTCTTTAAAATGAAAAATCCACCGTCATGTCAATTTACATAACACATGCATTGCTACAGTGTAATTTTGTGAATTAATGTTAGTACAACAAACCATTTCATTTTGCAGAATAAGAAATATTGCTTTCTTATAACCATAACAATACTGGGGGTGATCAGTGCAGTGTGCACTGCTTGACATGCCATCACTTGCTGACATGGTTGGCTCACTAAATTTCTCAGCATTTTTCTCTTATTATAAACCTGGAACTGATTATATGAGTTCAGTAAGTAGATGTGACTATAAAAGGTATATATGCCAGTTCCAACAGAACAGCAGCAGGTACAATTCAGCAATGAGGTTTGCAGAAATCCTTCAAAAATATAAAAAAAATTGTCACTACTCCACAATTTCCTTCATCTGCTTTTCTCTTAAACTAGTAGGGATCACAGTAGTCAGGTTAGGTTAGCCAAACATTATCTCAGTTTATTGGTACCGGTTACTGCTTTGTGTGAATGGATCTGCAAACAACCTGAATACATCTGACAGATAGCTTCTCCTAGCTACTGTTTGATTTATATTTAAATCCCAACTCTGGGCAATGAAAAAAACTATCCCTTGCAATGGTGTTGTGCCCAAACTGCAAGGCTTAATTGCTTATTTATGCTCAGGGGAACAACAAGTGGGAACAATCCTCTGCTCCTCCCCACAGCCAGACTAGTCCCCGCAATATCTACACCCCCACACTCTAAGGTCCTAACTTCATCAAAACCAAAGCAGGGTCCAAAGCCCTGCTGTGGATGTGAGGATGCAAAGACAATCCACGCCGAATTGGTCGCTGGGGGGGAGTGGAGAATCAGGCAAATAAGACTGTGTCTCCTTAACCCCTAGACAAAACAAGTTCTAAACCTTTGTGGTGTGGCACAGCCCCACTGCAAGGGATTATTTATCTGCTCAAAGTGGGGCTTTAAGTCAGCTTTCTACAGTCAGAGTAATATAGACATAGACTAGGTTACCATAAATACTGAAAATTAGCTGTAGCAGATCTCATATAAACAAAAAGTGGGCAAGCAACAGCCTGGGAAATTGATGCTGACCCGGGTTAATGCCTAAACAAAGATGTCTCCATATTTTGGGACAGAAAAACAGGTTGGATTTTCAGGGTGGATAGGGATTGTTTTGCCCTAGGCCAGTGCCAGAGATGTCTTCAGAGTGCTCCTGCTCATACTCAAACACACACACTATATTGCCAAAAGTATTGGGACGCCTGCCTTTACAAGCACATGAACTTTAATGGCATCCCAATCTTAGTCCGTAGCGTTCAATATTGAGTTGGCCCACCCTTTGCAGCTATAACAGCTTCAACTCTTCTGGGAAGGCTGTCCACAAGGTTTAGGCTCTAATTTATCCCAAAGGTGTTCTATTGGGTTGAGGTCAGGACTCTGTGCAGGTCTGTTAAGTTCCTGCACCCCAAACTCGCTCAACCATGTCTTTATGGACCTTGCTTAGTGCCCTGATGTGCAGTCATGTTGGAACAGGAAGGGGCCATCTCCAAATTGTTCCCACAAAGTTGGGAGTATGAAATAGTCCAAAATGTCTTGGTATGCTGACACCTTAAGGAGTTCCCTACTGTAACTAAGGGGCCAAGCCCAACCCCTGAAAAAAAACTCCACACCATAATCCCACCTCCACCAACCTTTATACTTGGCACAATGCAGTCTGGCAAGTACCATTCTCCTGGCATCCCACCAAACACATACAGGTCCATTGGACTGGCAAGCAGAGAAGCACGTTGCGCAACTCCAAAGAACACATCTCCACTGCTCTAGAGTCCAGTGGCAGCGTGCTTTACACCACAGCATCCAACACTTTGCATTGCACTTGGTGATGTAAGGCTTGGATGCAGCTGTTCGGCCATGGAAACCCATTCCGTGAAGCTCTCTATTCACTGTTGTGCTAATCTGAAGGCCACACAAAGTTTGGAGGTCTTTAGCTATTGAACCTGCAGACAGTTGGTGTATTCTGCGCACTGTGCTCTTCACCGTGCGCTGACCCCGCTCTGCCATTTTACATGGCCTACCACTTCGTGGCTGAGTTGCTGTTGTTCCCAGTTGCTTCCACTTTGTTATTATACCACTAACAGTTGACTGAGGAATATTTAGTAGTAAGAAAATTTCACAGATGGGCTTATTGCACAAATGGCAACCTATCATGGTACCACACTTAAATTCATTGAGCTCCTGAGAGCGGCCCATTCTTTCACAAATGTTTGTAGAAGCAGTCTGCATGCCTAGGTGCTTGATTATATACACCTGTGGCCATGGAGGTGATTGGAACACCTGAATCCAATGATTTAGAGGGGTGTCCCAATACTTTTGGCAGCACAGTGTATCACATATTTGTCTAGTGCAAACATTGATGCTTGTAGAACAGTCTTCTGTATCAAAGCAGACAGTTAGGAACAGTACACTTATAAACAGCTACTATTTTGGTCATTGTTGAAATATTTGATCTTGAGAGTTTATTTATATAAATTAATATTTATTTTTATTATATTATTTAGGTTCACTTTGTTATTGTCAACGTTTTGTAAATATTACCAGCTTGCAAAAACAAAATTGAAAACAACAGCTTTTGCACGTAGTATGTCATTTATTCATTACAATGGTACTCCACCTAGTGGCACATCAGATCATTTTACAGAAGTTTTTTTTAATCATTGCATTTTGCAAACAGGTTTTCAGTTTTCTTTTACATTGCATTTTCAGGCATTCAGTACAAAACAGCAAGTCACGATATCCCAATACTCACTCTTTTTCTGGAACCTAGACTTAAAAATGTACATCATTACAGATTCATGGGTGGTGAGACTTCCAAAAATGTAAAGCATGCAGGAATTTTACAGCCCCTACTTAAATGGCTTTGAATTTAAGTGCTTCAATACGGGACAATGTATTCATCATTATAAAAGGATACTTGGTAAAACTAACAAGTTTGCACCTTTACTTATGAAAAGTTTAAGGTGACACTAAACGCTAGTTAAAAAGTATTCAAGTATGTGTTCTTAACTATTACTCCCAGCCACCTCCATATGCCTTTTTTTGCGGTTATGATCCAACTTCCTGTTAAAGGGTGACTATGTTCATTCATCACCATATGTAGGAACGTAGCCACCCTCTCTTGCTTCTCCTGGAGATGAACTATGGGATTTACAGTGCTCATTCCAAACAAATGGAAGTGACAACATTCTTTCACAGTAGAGAAGCATAGCCGAACATTTCTTATATGTACTTCTCTTTAGAAGCACAGAAGAACATTGCACACCTGTGACCCAGAGTCAGCTGATAGCAAGCTTGTGCCTTTAAGCAAACAGCTGAGAGCTGGAACAAGCTACTCCTGCCCCCTCCCCCAGCTTGATGATCAAGTGGGCGCTGGGGAGCAGAATAGACCGACCACCACTGCTCTCTACTGTGAGTGGTCATATGATTACTCAGTACTTGGTCTTAGAGCCACCATGGGGCATCTACAGTGTCACATCAATGATGCAGCATAGAGGTGAGTATGTATGTTTGATTTTTGTATGCCCCAAATTTCTTTCATAATCTCTAATACCCATGTCATCAAAGAGGGTAGGGACATAGTTCAACACGTTTTACAGGAGTAGTGAACTGCTTCTTCAGGAGCTGTGGAAGATGTGTATGCATGCAAAAATAAGAACAGCAGGGTGCAATCTGAGTGTAGTATATTAATGTATTTATTGTGGTGAAAAGACAAATGGCAACTCACATAGTGACAGTTAAAATCAGGCTCATTACATATAAAGGGCTTCTGGTGGACAGTCTCATAACAGGGAACCTCAAACCAGGATAGAAACACTGGGTGGATGGATACACCTGCAGGGCCAAGAGAACACAAGGGGGGAGGGGGGGGGGCAAACAACGTTCAGAATTAAATGTACTGAGAAAAATTTGTAAATTTCCAACTCACATTAGAAGGAGAAATGACATTTTTTGTATGTAATCTGAGCGGTCGGCTCATGCATCTGGGATGGAGAGTCTTATCCTAAAGTTGCAGCCTGGAACGTCTGGATGACAGCTTACATGAGGAAGTTGAAAACCAACAAGATGGCAGAGGGCTTCTGTGGGATGCGGAGCAGACCGGAAATGACATCACATCAGGGGGGGTGAAGCTATGCATTTCAAGGCTGGCCAAGCCTCTCTCTCAAGCTTCGTGCAGATGGCATCACAAAGAAGTCCTCCACCATCTTGTTGGTTTCCACTTCCTTATCTAAGCAGTCATCCACAGGTGAAAGTAGGACAGCAAAGACTGGTGTGTAGATGGAGCAAGTCAGAGAAGGCCAAGAAGTAACAGAGTCTAGTAACACAGAAGGGTAGTCGAGACAAGCCAGATCACGCACATATAAAGTCCAAATGGTATAGAATCACAGTGGAGAGTGCAGGGTCAGAGAAAGCTTGGTCATACACGGTAATCCACAGAGCAAATACAAGCTGGGTATTTTTCAGATTTCAGTGCTGTCAAACTTTAAATGGCAATTACTTAGTCATGGTAGTATTTAATCACCACTAGGTATTTTTATTTATCGCTATACAAATGAAAAATATATACAATTTTGTAAAGAAATACTCTTTCTTCATAAATTTAGACCAAAATGTATTCTTCTACATTTCTTTGGGAAAATAACTAAAATCAGTGTATATTATTTAATCTATCTGAAAGTTATAATGTCTACAAACTGATATATACATTTGAAAATTGATCAACCCTGATGCACTGATCTAATTTCTTGAGGCCCTAAAATGCCAGGACACTACAAATACCCTCAAAATTACCCCTTTTTTGGAAATCAGACAGTCCAAGGTATCTAGTAAGTTGTAATCTTTTTTTGAAAATTAACAAAAATAAATAAAATGTTTTTTCACAAAATTATCATTGTAACAAGTTATTTCTTACAAAAAGC